ATTGCAAGAAATCATGTTATTAAAAATAGTAATTTAACCAATAATGTGAGCATTTGTGTAAGTGGCCTTTTATATCTAGAAATACGTCTGGTGTTATTATTAATATAATTAAAGCTTTTAAAGGAGAGTTAATTAATCTCAATTATTTTCTCCTTTCTCTTTTTTTCCAGAAAAAGATTCTAGGTACACCAACATGACATTAGGGAAAAAAATGTGTAAACATAAACCAGATTTAAATAATAATATGGAAGCGTGCGTAAAAGGTTTCCCCATACATCAACATATCATTAATTCCCCCCAAAAATTACAATAGAGTAGCTATATTTATATATTAATGAATATTAAAATGAAGAAAAAAAATAGATTTTTATATCTCTTCCATATGGGTCATGTATGAGTTCCAGTAGTTAATTTAAAAAAAATAAACATTTCTCATAACTTTTCCCATCCAATGTCTCCTTTTGTGTCTATCAAATCTGTTTTTCCATGCGCGCCTTTGCTTCTTCTGGCTTCTGAAAGGATTTTCTTCTGCCTTCATCTTGAATTATCACGCATACTGGGAAACCCAAATTGTAGGAAATATTTTTCACTCTCAGAGATTTTGTAATTGTTAGGAAGGATCTACCCAGAGGTCACATGACGACGCTGAGTGGGCGGAGTGTCTGAGAGACCCAGGTGCATCAAGCGATGTCGGCGTTCTCTGCACAGTGTGTAACGCGGCTACAGCAGGTCTGAACAAGCAGCCAGATCTTCATGTGTGCAGCCGCTCCAGAGGAAATAAGTTGTATGGGCTGCAATAAAGAAACCGAAGCATATTTTTTTTTGCTTGGAAAAGACTGTGGATCCCGGTTAGGAAAAGTTAGAATTGGGAAGTCTGATGTTTATTATGTGCATGCATATTTAAGCAGTCATTCAAACTACAAGTGCTACTTATTTACTTAGCTGTGATTAACAGCACTGTAAAAGCACTCATATACCAGTAAGCTCAGTGAAAAAAGTCTACAAGTTTTCCTTAAAACAACCTGGGAGTCCCAGCCCGGGCGCAACCTGAGGAGAGGGGCTGACAGGAGGGAAACGCTCAGCGCTCCCTCCTGTCACTTCCTCTGTAGTAGCGTGGCTGAGCCCTGCAGCATGCTGGTCCGGCGGGTACAGGGAGCATCTGTCTCCTGTACCCGGCCGGACTAACAGGAAGTGCACACTCAGTCCATATAATTGCTCATTATTTCTTATGGGAAGGAGAAACGTTTGTTTTTTATTTTACTTTTTTTTTTCTTTTGCCTGCTGATAACCTCAAACAAAGGTGCTGTTTTGGCCCTAGTCAGTATTAGAAATGAAACTCAGCTGGCTTTATTGACATATCAGACATAACAAATTTACATTGACATAGCAAAGTATACTAAGGGAAAATTTTAAAGATCGTTATTCATTTGGGGGTGAAAAAAAAGGGGTTCTAGTTGAAACAATGGCATCAAAAAGGAGTCAAGAGGCAAGGGAAGCTAAGGAGGCAAGATAAGTTAAATCAAAGAGCAGAGACTTTGATTATGGCAAAGATAGAGCAAAGAAAGTAGCCTCTTTATTCTCCCCTCAAACTTATAAAAAAAAAAGAAAAAAACAGGAGAATTTATGCAAATCCCCCTGCACATGAATCGACTCTCCAGAGTGATGGTGAATCTGAGGGTATATCCACTTAAGTGGAGGAAGATCTGGTTAGATGGACTCAACATAGGAATATCTTCAGCTTTGTTTGGAAGCCCAATTGAACCAATTTAAAAAGTTATTGGATCCATATTTTTGTGAATTTAATGCAAGGTTGGAATTACTTGGGGGTAGGACAAAAGCAATCGAGGAACAAATAGAGCATTTAAAAATCAAACTAAAAGTTGCTAATACACAGATTCATGAATTAAAGTAGACTGTTGAAACCATTGAGTCAAAAATAACTGATAGTGAGGATAGATTGCGCAGAAAAAGTATTCGCATAAGAGACATATCTGAAAAAAATCAAACAAACTAACAGATCTGCAAAGTTATCTCCTGGAGTTATTTAAAGCGATGGGGATCTCTGAAGCCCAAGATGAAGCAATCATAAAGAGGGTGTATACAACTTTCAAGCCAAGATGACCTCCCTAGATATGTCAAACAAAAAATTGTAGGGGCGCTGAGAGGTTTTATAGCACCAGAAGAAAAATTTTGCAGTCTAAAATTTTTCCAGGACCAAACAGCTTTAACACAAGCTAATAGAAGGTCCTTTGTTTTTTACTGAAATTATAAGAGAAAATCAGATCAGATATAATTGGGGGTTTCCCCTAAAAAAAAATGTTAGATTTAGTGATAAAATTTTTTTTTATTTATTAAATCTAAGGAAGAGGCAAAAGATTGGATGTCTAAGCATCTTAATCAAGTAAGAGTGCAGTAACACCGATTATTATTCTTGATATTGTTAGAAGGATATGGGGTCTAAGGAACAAGTATAAAGAGGGGTTGGTATTTTTTTTTTCTTATTTTTTTTTTAAAGTAAATTCAGGCATGATGTATTGACTATACCCCATTAAATTTAGGTAATAGTGAAGTGGTTACACAAGGGGAAAGAGTGTTTATGTGGAATTTTAAATATACATAAGTTAATAGACTGATCTACAAAATGATGTACACACTGCGAATTGGAGATAATGATATGTCACTAAATTACAGTGCTCGGCATTTATAGTATAAAAGCAAAAGTCAAGGTTAAGTTTTGAAAAGAGGTGAGGCACCTTATTTAAGGAAATTTTCACTAACTGTTTCAAAAAGAATTAGTCAAGGGTTATTTCGATAATAGCACTACTATTTTTTTATTTTTTTTTAATGAAGCAGCAAGGTTACTCCTGGTTATCACTTTATTTTGAGAGTCACTTTAATATTTATTTACGGTATTATGAAAAGAAGGGGAAAAGGAAAGGAATGGAAAGAGTAAAGGAAATAGGATGAATAGTTTGGAAATTAAGTTTGTTTAGGGATGTAGCTATAAACTGAATGTCCCTCCCCCTCCATGATATGGGTTCAGGGAAAGAGCCCCCTTCCAATGATTAGCTTAATTATTCTTGGAAGGGTCTTTCTTTAGGGATACGTAGGATGCAGCTTGGATGCATCTGTGGAATAGGGATCCATAAAATTGATTTGGATTTAGGGGCTAAATATTACTAAATGTTGTTTGTTGTTTACGGGTGGTTTGTTGCGACCTCGGATATTGGGTTTTGTCCGTCGGTCTTTCGGCAAGGTGCAGGGAATAATATTGGGATGGAGAAGGCAGCAAATTTGGATTTAATGGGTATAATGATCAATCTTAAATTTTTAACCCTGAATATTCCGGTACTTAATAGTCCTCAGAAGCATCTTGCTGCAGAGGCGTAGCATGGGGGGTACAGGGGGGGCCGGCCGCACCGGGCGCAACATCTGGGGGGGCGCGCTCAGGGCCTGCCCCCCCATGCTGCAGCCGTCCGAGCGCTCTGTAGAGAGCCTCAGGCGGCTGCAGCTTTGCCCGGGCGGTGCGTTCATGAGGGCGGACCGCACCGCCCGGGCGCAACCTGAGGAGAGGGGCTGACAGGAGGGAAACGCTCAGCGCTCCCTCCTGTCACTTCCTCTGTAGTAGCGTGGCCGAGCCCTGCAGCATGCTGGTCCGACGGGTACAGGGAGCATCTGTCTCCTGTACCCGGCCGGACTAACAGGAAGTGCACACTCAGTGTGCACTTCCTGTTAGTCCGGCCGGGTACAGGAAACAAAAGCAACCTGTACCCGCGGACCATCATGCTGCAGGGCTCGGCCACGCTACAACAAAGGTGGGGGGGAGGAGAAAGAAATTGGGAGGGAAGGGGGGAGAAGAAATGGGGAGGGTGGGAGAAGAAATTGTCAGTGGAGGGGGTAAGAAGAAATTGGGATGG